TAGCAAAAAATGGTTCTTTCCATATAATATTATATTTTACATTGTAAGTAAATATTAATTCTAAACTGGTTTCTCGACGTTGCATATCTTAATGAGGTTTCTGTCGCGTTTTGCCACTGCTTCTATAGTTATATTAATATTGACATCAGCAGCATCGCATGCTAATTTGCATAAGAACATCGCATATAAATGCGTCGACCAATGAAACGCCCGACGTAAGCCGTTGTATTGTACTGCGAGCTTATACCATGAAGCCTCATTGGCCGGAGACGCTTGTACGCTATGCTCTTATGTAAATTTGCCTGCGATAGACTTTAGCTTATGCTTTTACAAAAGCACAGCGCTACATAGCAATTCTTCCGTAATTTTTATATGACCGAGACAATATTTCTTGTCAAAGAGGAGAAATAATTTCTCCTCTAACCGATTTTTAATTGCTCGACAGTTCTTTCTGTTTTAATTTTCTCTATCAAGATTGAGTTCTTTTAAATTAAAATTTGAATAACGGAATGTTAACTGCTTGCTACAATTACATGACATATTAATGACTTTTATATTAGGAAAATCACATCAATTTATTCAAGAAATATTTCTCTGTATCCAGACGAGAAACAATGTAAAAAGACTGACTTTTATACTGCACTTTATCGCTAATAGAAATGTTTCGCAAAAATATCGAAAGAAAAAATACAAATTTCACGAACCTTAAAAATGCTACCGCTTGTAAATTGAGGAATGTCACTTCGATTCGCCAAGAGACGTTTGTGTTGAGGCATCTGGAAAACTTGTGAATTAAGAGATTCGTCGACGTCGCGGACGAAGGAGGGAAAAGATCATTCGATTATTTCCAGCCATTAAGGGGACCCCTCCTCGTTCATCTCACTTCAGCATCGCGAGGGTAGAACGTTTCTCGCAGCTTCTTTTCGAACTTTCGACATGAGTTTTACATTTCGCGCTTGAAGAAGGGTGAAGAGGTATCGGAAAAAGGGGTGGCAATAGGGGAAGAGGCGAGTGGATGGCGAAATCGAAAGTGAGAAAAGTGGGAGAAAGGTCCCCGCCGTGAATTCTTCCTCAAGTCGAAGATGGGCTTGCAAGAGCAGTACATCCGACCCTCCACACGATTGGTATTCCAGTCCGGTGCGCCAATATTGCGTTACCGAAACGCGTCATGCAAGCCGAATTCAAAACGACTACGAGCGTGATGACACGACGCCGCTTGTAAGTCACACCGCGGCGCGTGTCTTTTAATTTGTGCCACCCTATTCGAAATAAACATTGCGAGATGAGCGCGATTGAGACGTCACGTTTACATTAAACCATTTTTTTTTTCAATTGTCGGGGGTTGCCAGAAATATAAAGGTCGTGAGTAATGGAAAAATTATTCTTTGAAAACTATTAACTTTAAATGTAATCTATTAGACATAAACGTTACTTACGACAAAATAAATTCTTTCACGTAATTTTCACGTTATCTTAACTTTTATATTATTTTCCAAGAATTACACAGGAATTTCATTGAAAAAATATTTGACGACGGACACAAAGGATCGGCCAACCAATTAACTAATTTTCACTCGATTCTATTTCCGGTTATTCTCCGCGTATCAATTCTGGGGATTTCGATTATTAAAAGGACATCAAAGCGGAAGTGAATTGCTATTGTTACTCATTTTTAACGTAAATCTGTGCGAGAGAGAGAGAGAGAGAGAGAGAGAAAAGAGAGATAGTTAAACAGCATTACGCTGGCGTCTACCCTGAGGGCGGACATCACAGAGGGTGGCCTCGCGCCGGTGAAAATTTTCAAAGGCTCGACATCGATGGGCGCTCGCTCGCGCGCGTATCAGAAACGCGCGACAGAACAGGACCCTTTCCGCAATTTCTCCCATCGCACGGGCGCGGAATCAAGTGTTTGAGATTATGACGGTGGCTCCGGTCACGTATTTCATTAACCGTCATGCCGACGGTTCGGGGAGTTCAAGGGCGAGATCTCCGGCGAGGGTGCAGGTATCTGCGAAATATGTTTGCTTTGCGTTACGTCCCTCGGGATGATCCCGTTATAATTATGAATGTCGTTGTTGTTGCCGTTGTAAGTGTCTGATATCCCATCGTCGGTTTCGATATTGATTCTGTACGAATCCACATGTAGAATCAAAACGTTTCAATATAAGCTTCTGTTTATCAATTGAGAATATTCTCGATGCTAAATTAATATGCCTTAAAACAACTGACGAAATAAAAATGAAAAGAATTGAATGTTTTATTTTTGAATAATTAATTTTGCATATAAAAACATATAACATTTATATATATATATATATATAAATATATAATATTATATAAATACTTTATTAAATTATAAAATTATGTAAATTTATAATTATGTAAATATTGCAATTTTATTAATGAGATCAACTCCTTATTGGCATATATTTTATGGTACATCTCTTGGCTTTCTTTTTTTTATGTTTTTTAAATACTTTTTCCATTACTTCTTTTATTAATAAAGATACATACTTGCTTAGTATACTTATATTTCTTATGTTTGATTTTGCAATTGAAAAAAAAATTTTTTACAATATATTTATTTTTACGAATATTATAAACAATTGGGTTGGGTATGCCAATACCTAGAGATTTTATAAGAGTTCGGCAAAAGCGGATAAAAAATGCAGATAGCTATATTTTCTTTCCTTCTTTCTCTCATTTTCTGAATATACTGAGGGCTCATAATTAACTTAACCAATCAAAAACATGATCCACTTTGGCTAGACTTTCATTGTATGGTTGCTACTCATATATACGTATAGTGTGTTGTTTCTGTAGTATGACGTTTAAGAATTAATTATCGTGCGATAATCGATGTAGATTAACACGAGCGATTCCCGTCTTAAGTGAAAAATTTTGTTTGTCAAAGAAACGCGTAAGAAACATTTCTTCGTCCAAATCTATATCGAGAAGTCAATGTAAATCTGCGGTAGTATCGACAGACTCGTTTGCGGCTACACGCTGTAACCCCAAAGACCGCCCCTTTGAAACGAGCAACGACAGATTGGTATTACCATATTGGGAAAGGGACTAGACTCCTTATTTCCCTATCCTTTTGCCGCCGAGGTAGAGGAAAAAAAAAAAGAAAGGAAGAAAACGATCGGCTTCTTTCTCTGTTCTTCCGCAACAGGCGTCTCACTTCTTACCTCGATTCTCCACTTCAACCGCCTTTCCAGAGCTACGTCTTTCGCATTCACTTTTTCTCTCTCTCTTACCGTCGATACATTCCTTTTTCCCCTACATTTTCTCTTTCCACCTCTCGTTCGCCCCTTTTTCCATCTCGGGCTCATCCGATTCTCGTCCACGAAGATTTCAATCTTGTTTCGCCGAGGCATCGACACGTCCTCATCTTCCTACCGATTTTCTCCATAAACTGGCGGAACCTTCTCTCATAACATACGACCGTTTTTTCATCTCTTTCATCGTCCGAGTCTCCGTTTGTTATGCGCCGTCGAAGCGAAGGATAACCGATCTAATGGCGTTTGCTATATCGATCGTTCGTGACACATCAGCCGCAGGCTCAATTCGGGATCCTCGGCAGTTTCCGCAGGAAATTCGTGAAACCCGCCTCCCAAATGAACAACCCTCTGATTTTCCCACTACCATCTCCTTTCCCTTCAATTCTCATTGATACTCGATATCTCGACAATAATCGACAACCGACCGTTGCGACCATTTAACACATAGATACAGCCCTTTTTAAAAATGGCCCTGCTTGGACCCAAGCATTGTTTTCCGAACGCAGGAAAAGTCTTTTCCAGTCTATGAATACATTAAGAGCAAACAAAGGACCACCTTCCATAATCTCACGACCCCTTTTTTTCCCCTACGTCTTTTTCCTCGCTTTTCGCTCTAGAGATGTTACACGCGTTTATTAAACCCGGCCCGCCAACGCGCTTTCTTAAGCACTTTTACGAGAACCCGGCCGAGCTCTTCGTTCTGTCCTGTAAAAGCTTGATGTACCATCTCTTTCTCTCGTCGCAATATTATTTCGAAACAGACGTAATTAAAATCGCGTCTTCTTAGCCATCTTAAAGCTACATTGAAAACGCAAGTAATTAGTAATTTATGTTGAACACCATTTTGTAATACGAATGTAAATAGTTATTTTTAACATATTTTTACGTGCTGAACATGAATCCGTTGAAAAAAAACTAACACGTCACAATTTTGAGAAAAATGACGCCAAAGAGGCAAAAAAGGATTATTTAAATTAAGAAAAAGATGATTTAAGAGTTTTCATGATGTCCATCGGTACCTAATTTTTTTCTAAATTTTATTTACGTTATGTAAAAGTATCAACTTTTAGCTTAAATTCATTTTGATTCATTTCAGTATGATTTTTTTGTTTTAATATAGAAGACAATTTAAAGAAAGCTCTTTTCTGATGTAATAAAATAATCCGACAAAATTTGACATTATGAGACAACAATTTGATGAGAATATGAAAACCAAAGAGGCAAAAAAAAAATCAATTTTGAGGATTTTCATGATGTTATAATACCATTTTTTTTCCTAAGAACTATTTTCAAATTGCTATATCTCGAAAATAAAATATCATATCGAAACGAACTAAAATACATTTTAAACCTGAAAATTGATACGTTTACGTGGCACTAATGAAATTTAGAAAAAAATTTGATACTGATGATACAATGTCATTAAAACTCTTAAAATCTTTTGCCTTTTCAACGTCGTTTTTTTAAATTGTGATGTGATAGCTAATTTCGACAACAGATTCTTCAACAGACAGAAATACATTGAAAATGACAATTCATATTTGTGTTGAAAAAAAAAGTCTGTTGAACAGTGTTAATAAAATCACACACAATTTAAAGTGTTAATCACTAAAAATAGATCAAAGATGGAAACAATATTTTTAAAAATAATTATTTTCAGTAATTTAATGTTTGTAATCATGAAATGTATACAGATCGTTTGCAATTTCTTTTCAGACCGAGATCTGTTCGAGCGCTCTTACAGATGTAATTCATGCGGTCATTAATGGAACGGATGGCTGCTTATTTTGTTTTGGACATGCCGGTTTAGGTAAGTTTAGAAATTATAAATTTGACTTATATTTAAATACATCTAAATTATATTTTTACATAAGAATAAAAAACACTATACGATATCTTACACTAAATAAGAAAAAAATAATTAACGAGTTACGTTCGCTTGAGTTAAGATTTTAAATTGTTTATGTAAGCATTTACGTGATTTTTTTTTAGTCTCACCTTAATTTTTTAAATTAGATTATCATTAGGCAGATAAACATTCAATATTGTTTTGCACGTTCCTCTTGATCGAAGAAGAAAAATGTACGAGCGTATCAATATACACGATATCCGTTCTTGAAGGAAATGTCGCAAAAATTCTTTATTTAAGCGTTCCTTCCTTTGTTCATTTGATGTCTCTTCGTTGTGCTGCCGCAAGGTAGGAACCTGGTAGAGGCGCAGAGTTGTTTTACATTTTAAGTAGTAATATCGAGTTTGCATGCAAATGTATGATTATGCATGGAAAGTGCGCGGAAGAGAGAATCCTCGGGTAGTAATGTCGGTGCTGAAAGAGAGTGAGAAAAAGGAAGGAACTGAGAACAAAGAGGAATAGAAGAATGAAGAGTGAAGAAGCGAGACCGGAAGGAATGGTGATAATGTATGCCACTGGGACACACTTTCTCTCTCGTACCTTTCGAATTTTAACATACCACAACTCAAGAAACTGTTTGCAGTCCTGTCGTCATTATACACTTTCTGCGCGAAAACGTCTTTAAGACTAATGGATAGAGAGAATATCTTGCATAGAATATATGTTTTGAAAATTATCATAATTGAAATATGTATTCCTATTTTAAACACATATTCAAATATAAAATCACAGTGTCTCTTATTATTATTCAAATATATTGTACATTTAAATATATGTATTTAAAATTTTCATACAATTGTAAACATAAATACTTAAGTTTATTAAAATTGTTCGCAGATTTAGATTCTCTTTAACATCTTATTATTAATATTTTTATAAAAATGTTTATTAGCATAAAAAACATTATTAAATTGTTTTATCAAGTGATATTACTCTGGTTCTATATATGAATACGTTTCAAAATTGAAAAAGATTCTCATGTAAGAAAATATTACTTTTTTAAGTTTCTTATTTAATTAAAAAATTACATTTTCTTTTAAAAATTCTTTATTCGTTATACATAATTTATTTTTATAATTTATTGCCTTGATTTTTATACAATTTTATGATGTGATATTTATAATTAAAATAATAATGTCCAATAATAAATTTGTTTTATGATTATAATCATAGACGATGTTAAAATATTTTGACTAGAATAAAATTGAGATAAACTTCTGCTTTTACAGTTGGTATCAGAACCAATTAAATTTCATGGAATATTTCTGCTTGAGTTCCTTTTAGCATTATACAATATAAAGATGTAAAAATATAATGTTATAAGGAATTCAGTGAGAAATATTCCATGAAGATTATAAATCTATCTTTAATTATATACCTTTCTGAAAGATTTGTTATATTTGACATATAAATAGGAAGATGAAAATCTACCTGGATACAGAGTGTAAGATAATATTAATTAAATAAGGCAGATAAAATTATTCACGAAAATTAAATTAATCTAAAATATAAGTTGCTAAATAGTTCTCCTCTAATAATTATTCATTATTTTAAATTTACATGAATAAAATGACAATGCACAGAGAAATGTTATTTCTAAAATTAACTTTGTCGCATAAACTTAGAATTTCTTCAGCTATTAGCTGGCTTCTATCGTTCTTGAACTGATACGGTTTCATAATTCTGCAGCGCATTGAGAAATTGTCGACTTTCAGTACCGAAGTTCGTACAGTCGAGCGGGATTTCCCGCAACGTGGGAAAGGGGAATCGATAGAATCGAAAATAAAATAAAAGGAGGCGCATCGGAAAGATAAGAGCCTAACGGCAGTAGACAAAGAGCTGCGTAAAAGGAAGCCAAACGAATTCGCACAGTGTCTTCCCTCTCTTTTTCAAAAGTACTTCAAGCAAGTCCGCAAGCAAACTGCTTTTGATCATCGCTATGCGAACGTTTCTTTCGAATTTCCCCGTACTCTCCATCGTTTTCCTCTCTGCTCCAACTCCTCTCAGTCTCTATCTCTCTTCTTTTTACATCTCGACTCTCTTTTATCTCTTTATATCATCGTCTTCTGACGCAAAAAAAAAAAGACAAAAATGAAAAAGCGGCCGCGATTAGAACAGAGGAATAAGGAAAGCGAGATGAAAACCAGGAGGAAAATCAGATTTACATGGATCTATCTGCGAGAAGACAGCATACGCACGACAGAGGCAGCCCAGCAATTTTTTAAATGACGACCAACCCATATCTTTTATTTCACCCCAAGCAATCGCCGATGAAACCAAATGCATTTCGTTCGCGGTCTGGGAAGTTGCGTGTAAAAAGCGTGCGGAGAAGCCGTGAGAGACAGAAGATGGACAAAGATATAGACACGCGAGAGGGTGTCGAAGGAGAAAAGCAAAGGATGAGAGAGATTTGCACTTTCAAAGCAACAGGACTCGTCCTCTTACGAAAGGACAGAGGACGGACGGAGATATGTATATATCACTACATATATACAGATATACAGATACAGCGACAACAATGGGCCCGTTTGTACTTTGTAGCGCGTTTCCTAATTACCTCCTCGCGCGGGGATCCCACAACTGCGGACACTCCGACGAAACCTTTGAGATCGCGGAAGGGCCGTGAAAGTGGATTATGTAACGACGGTGAGGGGAAGAAGCACGCGTGCTTGATGCACCGAGATTTCCCTCTTATTCCTCTCACAAAAACATGAAGCTTTGACAATAACCTTGGTAAGCGATTCAGTCAAAGGGACTGTGGCGCGACACGCTCCTCTCATTCTATACGCTGCCAAGAAAGGATTTATCTGATTTTTAATAATCTCGTATGCATATGAATTCGTGCAATCCATATATTCTTTTTATTCGTATTAATTCTTATATAGAGACGTATATATCCCATCTTTTTCTCCTTAATCTTTTCAATACTTCTTTGATATTTTAACTAATAAACACGCAATTTCTATCATGCAATTTGTATTGGCGCTGAGACGTTCCTCGCATACAACGAGGTATTCGAGCGGAATTTTAATTATCAGTCGCATTTCCATTTCAAAGTATCTTTATGCTAGAGTGTTATACCGATCGTCTGAGAATGCAGCGGCTACCGTTTCGTTTTTCTACGTCGTCGTCAGCGACCTCGTGAATCTCGTGGCGGCATAGCGTGAATTCTTGCGGAATTTTTGCGGTTCGACCGCTCGAATCTTGCCAACGGTGCGCGAATTCTCCAAAGTGGAATCGTTGAAAAGTTCCTGAAACGCAAACGCGGTACGTTACCGGCGAGATAAGCCAACCCTCTCCTTTGCCGCGTTTCTAATTAAATAACAACATAATTCACCGTTTTACATTAAGACAATTAAATAACGTTTAAGATTCAACAGCGGCTGCTGCTTTTCCATTACTCCACCATTGCCGACGGGGGCTTTCCTCTGCCAGGATCTTACGCCTTTCGCTTCAATCTCTCGTCCTTCGTATCGCAACCTCCTTCTCCCTCCTCTGCCATAAGTCGTCTCTCCGTTCTCATCAGACTGTTTTATGATTTTAATAAGAGCTCTTTTATTTCTCTGTCAACAGCAGAGTGTTTGAGCTCGACTTTCAATTTTGTCGAAACTTCAGTGCTAAAAACTTTCGCACAATATGTGCCGTTAAATACACAACCGAGTGCTGTACTTTATTATGCGATTTGTATCCCATTATTGTCATCCGAATGAATTAATTTTAATATTTATTTCACACCGTTACGAAAAGCGAAATAACAATCGATCCTTTCGCCGTGCATCAACTACTTCGACATAATCGCCGGTTGTCATTCTAGCCGTTACGTTGTCGTCCACTAAATAGTAAACAAATTAAGCGGTCCGCTCGAGCCTGACCACAAATCTGGCAACGCAATTATTGCACCCATTCGGCTCGCGCTCCGTTCGTATACATAAACAGGATTTTCGAATTCATCCATGTGAATTGATTCGTCCTGACACACGAGGGGGAAAATTGCGATTATGCCAATCAACAATGAAGCTTGTCCACATACCAGTCGCACCAGCGGCACGGTTACGGGCGTTAATTCGATCTCTACGTCAATAAATCTGTCAGTCTGGCAAGGATCATTCGAAATATTAGCTTTGATCCGTCATCGCTTCTATTGACAAGAGGGTGGACATCGGATCTTTCAATATGTTACCTCTAAATATTTTATCTCGACAGATTTTAATTTGTATATGGATTAGAGTAACTATAAATACACAGAAAAAAATCTTGGAACGTATATTTATTAAATTGTACGAGTATCATAGAATATGAATAAACAGGCAGTATAAGCGGACAATAAACTAGTTATAATTAATTCAAATTGCTAGAGTAATTTTCGTCTACGCCATTTGCATTTACATTGCACGTTTAAACACTGAATATCACTTCCTCCAACATGATTCCACGTTTACGTTGCCTGTAATCCGCAAGCTATCTTTAACAAATTTCTTCTTTCTAATTTAGGTAAGTCTCATACTATGCTGGGAACTCCGGAGGCTGGCCATACACTGGGCGCAATTCCTTGCGCTATAGCGTGGCTCTTCCGCGGTATTTCGGAACAACGACAGAGAACCGGCGCCAGATTTAGCGTTAGGGTCAGCTGCGTGGAATTGACCACTGGCCAGCAACAACTGAGGGACTTGCTTGCGGCGCACGCGAACGGTAAGTAATCTTCCCATTAAGTATTACAATTAAAGTATTCACCGAATGAAGAATTTCATACTTTTCGTTTTCCTAACCAATTAATGTTATCTATTTATCGTCAATCTGCTGCAAACGGCACGAGAGATATATGCGACATATTACGAATACTCATCTGCCATTTTTGCAAAGTTTAGATGAAGTTTAAAAAACTTTTTTTTATACCCCCTCCCCCCCTTTACAAAAATACTTAAAATAAAAATTAATAGATTATATTTTTATACAGAGTTAGGTGCTCAATTCAACAGGAAAAACATACGTAGGATTATCAAAAAATAAACATTAAAAAACTACAACAATTCGAATCTATTATACATCGTTCCGATTTATTCAACATTTTATGCAACTTTGTTAATATAGTTATTCTATCTTATTTGCTGTCTTCAGATTAAATCGCAGTCAGACTTGCGCACTTTCTGATTGAAGAAACTTGCGTGCTCTAAGAATCATTTGTCAAGAATCATTTCTCTTTTTAAGGGATGAGACGGGAAATGCGGGTTTCAGAAATAGAACCGAATCGGCTCTAATCTCTAGAACGCGCGGCTGAAACTTTCTCAAGCATTTCTGCTTTCCTACGATAGAGAGAGTTTAGCATTTCCCGCAATTAATTCGATGTTTCAAACAATACGGCCATAATCGTTTAGATTAATTAACGCCATGATAGCTCACGGTAGCTAAATTGTATCATGGCGACGACATTGTACATCCGATATGTAATCCTTGCGCGATAACTCTAATTGATTTATAGATCATAATTCTAATTGTATCCAAACACACGAAGAGTCACATAATCAGAATTAATGCACGCTACAATGAATGCAGTTATTGACTAATACACCTATCTCTCCTGTTGAAGTATTTAAGTCGGAGTGTCAGAATCGCACTCGCTTGAAAAGTTCTATGAAAAATGCTGTGATTCCAAAAACGATATATAATCGTAAGTGTTCTTTGCATAATAAAGACTGCGATACAATCTAGTAAGACGATGCCGTAGAATATCTATTTTACTCTCGAAGGATTGTCAAAAGATCGGTCAAGCGGGCCAAAGGCATCCCTTGTATAATATGAAAATAGGAACGTTTCATGGCTGTGATCGAGTTTAAAGACAGAGCATGGCCAGAATCGGAGCCACGTCGCGTATAGAATTTCGCATGGAAATTGCAATAGCTCGCACGTTCCATTTGCCTGATGCGCTCACTCGAGTCGAGTCCTCCAACGTCTCTGAATCGACGAAAACCAGTCGTGCGACCGATGCTCGAAAGCACGGAACGTCGAAATTGTCCTGTCTCGACCGGCAGTGATGTACGGAGGATTCGGCGGTAATATTCAGGAAGTAGGATGAGACTTGCTATTGGCCGCAATTTAGTTTCGTCTTCATGGACGGACGAATGGACGACTTGGCCCGTAAAATTGAAGGACAGGATTATTTCCTCCTTCTATTTCATGTTGACCACCATCCTATAGCTACCCTATTACTTTTGTTATACGTTCCTTTTTGTGTCGTGCATCTCGAAAGACTCGCGGGATTAATAAAAAGCGATTTACTTGGAAGATAAATTGTTACGGTGCACTTATGGCAACGATAGTCAAAGATCGTCAAGGACATTGCTCCGAAAATTAACTAGACTGGAGCATTTTCCTTCAAAAATAGGGTATTTTCTATAAAATGCGTTATATCTTTCTGATGTCAAACATTACGAAAATTATAATTTATTTATATAAACTGAATATACAATTCGAATAAAATGTTTGTAATTAGATTTCTTTCATATTGTAGATTTCAATATTTCATCAACACACTTTAATTATATTATGTTGCTCCCTGATTTTAAAAGTAACACAATTTTAAAAATGTGATTTGCGAATTATTATCATGAATGAGTTAGGTAAATATTATTTTATCAATCATCAAAAGTGATCTAATTTCTTGAAAAATTGCAAAGAAAAGGTTTTTAAGGATTGTGAAACAAAAATAATATTTTATCATGTTAAGAATATATCTTTTTCTTCAATATTATTTCCTACCAAATTGAACAATATTTTTTCTCTTTTTCTGAGAAATTTAATGTTTTGAGTAAGGAAGATATCATAAAAGAAGTTAAAAAAATGTCAACAAAATTTCTAATTAATTGATAACATTATTTATATAGTGAAATCTCTTTTTCGAATATTTTTTTTAATATGTTTATGATTCAAAATTTTAATTTTGTGGCTGCAAATTCAGAAATTTGTAGATTCGAGCACGGTAAAATCTAATTTTCTACCATGTTGCAAGACACTCCTGAGCATTTTACAATCAAGAAAATTAAGACGTTTAATAGTGTAAATTACCCGAACGTTTCGGGTACGTGCAATACGGGCATTCCATGTAAAACTCACGTTAGACGAGTCGTTTGAATGCAGACTTAATGATCGCGCCGTGCAGGTTTCCGCTTTCCCTTGGTCTCTGGACTAATTAAGATGCGATGAAATTAATTTTCCAGTTTATTAAATAATTAACTCGTATCTATAGAACTATCTCGACTTCGTCTTTTTCCCTTTTCATTTCTCTTTCATCTCATCTTTTTCCTTTTTCTTTTTCTGAATCTTATTCCACATTATTAGTAGTATAACTAACATTAAGGAGACCAATTATAGAGGAATTTAAGCGCCTCTTCATTCGACATCCAAAATAATTTTATAATTTTGTACACTTTTATATTTCCAATAATAATATACATATATTTAAGAAAATGAAATATAATGCAAAACAGATGCAATTTTATTCGTAGCGTTTTACAAGTGATGGGAAGTACTTTCATTAATGTATTTTTTAATGCTCATGTGAAATAAATAACATTCTTTCATTAAAAAACGCTACGAATTAATTCCAACACCTAATATATATACATATATGTTACCTTTCTTTGTCTTTTTTCTTCCTCTTTTGTATCTATTTTACCTCTTTTCAGTCTGCGAGGACATTAGTTACGCCAGTGCCGGATGCTGCAAGCGCGTTCTTCGCTCGAGATTTAAATCGAGTAGCGGTACCCTCCAAGTTCGCGTTTCCCCCAGAGAACTTGATAATCCCCGCCCGGTAATTATTTAAAGTTTTCGACGTCTGGATCTTACGCGGGTGCCGCCGACGAAAAGGGGAGTGTCTTCGAGCAAAGGTTTACCTTTGTTACTTCTAACTGTATGCAATGGAATATTTAATTAAGCTTACGCCCTAATGCAATAATTGAGGCAACTTGCGGTGGAATATTTAACACTTAATCAAGCTTAAAACTAGAATAGAGCTACTTCTTCTCACCAAGTGTTATAAATGAATACGTTTGTAAATGAATAACTTGGCTTTCTATTGATTTATATTTGCTGTTCTGGTACGCTATTTACACAAAGCTTCCAATATTATTTAAAAAGCGTATTAAATATTAATGTTATAAATATCAGAGAGCTCTTTTTTTCCATTAGTACATGAATTAATAATGTGTAAATGTCGAGTTGACCAAATGGTTACTAAAAGCATATTTACTACTTTATTATATTTAATATGGAAATTCATATTAAATTTCAGACAGCTATTAAAAAAAATTATCGTATAGATAATAAATAATTATTATATGGCAGAGAATATCTTTTTACAAAAAACTATACAAATAACTGTTCCATCATATTATTAATTATTTAATAACGTAATTATTTCGTGACATTCAAGAGTTACTTACAATTGAGCCAAATATTTACAATAACGTGGAATAAATAATAAATACGCCAATGAATGTATGTATTGATCGGCTATACACATAATACCACATAAGCATGAGAGGAAACCGATAATATACATTCGTGTAAATATATTATAATTCAATATCAGTCCGCGGTATCTACATAAAAACGATTTTCTCTCATATGACAACAAAATAATATCGTGCGAGTGTCTCGTCATATATATAAATCATTAGCCAGAGTATATAAATTGTTTCCGCGCGCAATAAAATAGTAGTGTGGACAAAATTCAGAGTTATTTTTAATTATTACTTTTTTATTATCACTACATTAAAAATATACAATTATATGATTTAGTATTAATGATAAAAATATGTACAGTAACGCTCAATAATTACCTTGATAAAGAAATTTTTCAAAATGCTTTCATTTATAATACGCCATTCATAAATTAATTAAGTACTTAAACGAAGATAGCTTTTATAATATCAATATTTGATAACAAAAAATTAAAGGTGTATTATTTTTTATAAGACTAGAAAAAAAAATATAAATCTAATTTAAACAGATTTAAAAGTATTTAGATAAAATATTAACTAATTAAATATTTTTCTTTATATAGACAAATATTTTTAATATTTTTACTTGATATAATATTGTTTTAATATTCCGTCAAGACATATCCTTTTACATTAATTATAGTATTTTTTTTATATTGAATCAATTAATTTAATCAAGAAGTATTTTTGTTCATTTTTTGCTTAAATTTGAACTCTTTTGACTTAATTGTAAATATATTGGTCCGATTCGCCATGATTAGATTTGCCTCAGACTATTTTATAAAAACTGAAAATAAGTATAAGATTAAGTACATAATGATGATATGCTGATTGATTTACAATTAGCATAAATTATTAAAAATACTCCATTATTTTTTATTTAAATCCTTTCTTTTAATGAAAAGACTGCTAATATCTAACAATTTATGCACTGAAAGAGATAAACCTTGAATCACTCTATATTCCCATACAGTGAACACAGGATTCCCTCGAAATGTATTCATTTTAATCGGCCGTATGCATATTAACCGAATGGTACGGCTAGCCAAACAAGAAAATCGAGAATATTTCCCGCCTATTTCTCTCCATTCTTTCTCGCTTATAACCAGAGAAGGCTGGTGATAATTCTCATTCGTTGTTTTATATATTTCTCCCACGTATCGGTCTTACGAAGATAAGGAAGAGAATTGAGAA